GGTCACTCGTGGGCTTACTAAGCAGAGAAAAACAGTGTGTTACGTCTGGAAATAAGTAAATGACTCCATTAGGGGACACACATTTTGAGTTGTCAAGCAACTGTTATGACATAAAGTCATCCATCAGTTGTGAAACAGGTTAATGTTCTTAATATTCTTTAATGTGCTGCTATCGGGATCTACACACACCATCTTTGGTCTCACTCATGAAGGTTAGGGAGTAGGTAAGCCATACTGTCGGTCTCTCTTAAATAATAATAATAAGGCTTTCATACTAGCTTTTGCTTCAATTATTCTTACATTCATATACTAGACATTGAGAGACACCTTTCTACTAATTTTTCATTTAAATTATGTTCCTGCACTTTGTATAAATACACTAAAGGAAGTTGATCTAAAGTTAATGTAAGGCTCCAGCTGTCTGAGTTTTTGAAATATATTGAACTTACAGTCACAGTTGAAAAAAGTGGAAAGCTGTCAACAAAAAGGTATTTTGGTATTTCTTTGCTAAAAAGACTGTAACCTTAAAAGGTATTCGATGGATTTCATGTATTTGGAAAACTGAGAGGACATGGATGATTCAGAGAAAGTTTTGAATACATTTTGTACAGAACAAAAAACGGATTTCTTAATGGCAAATGTGATCAGGAGTAATGATAACGGCAACACATACTACTGCTACTTGACTTTCATTTTAAGACAGAGTTGACCAACTGTTAACCTGTTAAGCCCCAAAGCCCCCCTTGCGGGTCTCTTTTCTTTTTTTTCACGACACTGTGTCTCAGGCAGTGTTGTGCTAGTTACTGAAAACCAGTAACTAGTTACCATTACTAGTTACTTCATGTCAAAAGTAACTCAGTTACTTTACTAGTTACTTACACCCAAAAGTAATGCGTTACTGTGAAAAGTAAAGTTTTCGTTACTTGAAAAAATGTCTCCCATTAATGCCCTTATAGCCTTCATTTCAGTACTGTTATTGCATTGGAGAATAATACAATCTGTTGATCAACTTGACATGCATTATATGCAATCTGGATTGCATCGATATTAGCTGGCTTTCCATTTTTGTATATTCTTTCTCCAGGTAGTTGGAAAAAGTGTTCCATGCCGTGTGCCGCCCGGACATGCTATCATGCTAACTAGCTCCCTGAAAGCGGGTGACTCCACTGTAGCAATAGCCTGCATGTGTTCTACAACATACCGTGCAATGGCTTTATCGACTTTTCCCTGGCCAGCAGTCCCTTGGTTAAAATCCAGCCGCTGTTGCTTAGGTGGAGGTGGAGTGGCGTCGGCTGAGTCTCTGTGGTCTTAGCTACTAGCTTCGTCCCAGCATGTTGTTTTTGCAGATGTTTTAAGAGATTTGAATGACTGGTTTGGGCAGTAGATAGGATATTTGACCCGCCAAGACACAACTTACATTTAACTAAAACGTTCTTTTCTTTGTGCTCGACAAAAGTGAAATAGTGAGAATATCTCCAGGTGGAGAAACTCGACTTGAGCTCCGCCGCCGCCATGATAGTCTTGTTAGTAAACAACACAAACACGCCCACAGCCCGTCTCCGCATGTGACACAGGAAGTATCTAAGTACATTTACTCAAGTACTTAAGTACAGTTCTCATCTCTGTTCGCCTGGCTGTTGACTATATAAAAAAACTAACGCAGTAACGGTGTAACGCACCATGTAGTAACGGTAACCGCGTTACTGAATTTAAAAAGTAACGGCGTTACAGTAACGTGTTACTTGTGCCGCGTTCGTCCCAACACTGGTCTCAGGGCATCTTAATATTTAAGAACCTATTAATGTGTTATACCAGATTAACGGGAATAATCTCAGCTAACTGACGATACAAACCATTTTTACCAAAACAAAACACATGTCTCATAAGAAGCATCTAAATGACTCCTGAGCGAAAAATGCTAACGCACTGTGGCACAGAACTCAAGATAAAGATACCCGTATTACTTATCGTAGCTGCACATACAAGATATCCAATTAAAGCTGAGGTTCCACAGATTATATAGGTATAGTATCATCACTGAGCGATCCAAACTCGCGACAGGGGAAGCAAACACAGACATCACAACACGTACCTTTACGGAGCTTTTACGGGAGATCGTCTCATCATAGCTGTCAATCTGATCAAAATACGTGTTCAATGGCATTACAACGAGAAAAAACGCGGCTGAATCGGTTAATCCATAGGTTGATAATGTTTCTGTCGATTTGAAAAAATGATTTATAATCCATAATTCAATTTGTATGTAAACATCGGAGAGTAAAAGTTAGCTGCTAATGGTAGCCACCAGAGTTATCGCAGCTTCCGGTTTTGGCTGTGCGTCACTCTCACACACACACACACACACACACACACACACACACACACACAAACACACACACACACACACACACACACACACACACACATTACCAAATAAGGAGTATGTGGGAGTTCCCCTCGATTCTATTGGCTCTGACGGTTAGAAAGAGATGTCAATCGTCAAAATCGACCAAGGGGGCCAGAGATATGGAAAATCCACCCAAATGACCCCAGAAGTGTGTTTTTTGCTAAATCTCTCTAAAAAGGTCAAATTGCACTTGTTTTGCATCAAACTTATTATATGTTGTAGTTTGGATTCCTAAAGCTTTTAGTCTACCATCCCATCATTCAAGGGTGGTTTTCACTATAAGTACTTTTTTTTGTCTGTCTTTTACTGTCATGAGCAAAAAAAAACAAGTGTGAAGAATCACTCTTTGTTTCATTTAGTAGCAGTCTTCATTATGCTCTTTACTTCTAATCTTCTAAATGTGCAATTTAAAGCCAGACTTTTATCCATATTAAAAAGTTTCATTTAATAATAAACTTCACTGAATGAATTATGCATGTTGATCGTTGATGTGATTCTATACTCTCCCTCCAAGGGGATTGTTGGATGTTTGTGAAACTATGATTGACATGCTCAATGTTATTTTTTTTAGATGTTCCACTAATTCCTCGTTTTAGACCATCCGATCACTTTTACAACAGATTGTGACAGAATGATAGTGACCTCTAGCGGGAAATATACAACACTGCAGGTCAGGAGATATAATATCTGTGCAGTCTTTAAAACAGTAACACAGACAGCAACCCTGTCTTTGTAGACCTTTTTTTGAAGCAATTCAGATGTTTGAATACATGACATCAACATGTCCTTTTTGTATTTGCTTATATAATTAAAAAAGCTAGGCTCATGGTGCAATGATGAGCTCACCTGCAAAACAAGTTGATCAACATGCCACAGTTATCTTAATTCCAGCAAATGGAAAATCACTTAACCTCACAGAAGTAGATGCAAAAACACCAATAAACTTGTCACATGATGACTCAGAAGTTAACAGACTTGTAACTCGTGAAGCGTGGGTATAAAGTCTACGTTTACAACTTGCATGTGGGTTACTGTGAGTGTGTGACAGTCTGAAAGAGAAATAATTAGAAACACAGAGGGATATAGAGATAAAAGAAACATGAGAGATATCTTTTATGTGCACCGGTGTGTTAGAAGAATGGGCAGCCTGGTGAGTGCGCTCCGCTCTCCTGGACATGGAGACTGGTTTCTGCTTCATCCCTTCCTGCTGTGTGATCCGTTTGGGGCTCTATACACCTGGAGAGAGGTATCATGACCTAAAACAAAACAGATTCTCTTGTAGCTAACGATCTTCTTTGATCACTCTGGGATTTCTTGTCTTTGCTTCTTCTTTGTTCCATCCTAACCTCACATCTCTTTTTTTGCCAGGCAGTGAAAGGTATAGCTCATTGAAGGTGCCACTGAGGCAATCAATTATGCATAATCCCCAGGTGTGCAGGTAGCCATTGGTCAAACATGTGATCAGACTGCACTTTCATGTTGCTGGGTCAGTCTTCTAATATTACACTTTATTTGAATTCTCAGGCATATACCATCTGTAGATGTTTTTGGAAAGATTAATCAGCATAGATTTCTAGATTTGTTGTAAAAACAGGCAATATGAAATAAATGACATACTTTACAATATAATAGATTGCAGTATATGTCTACTGAGAATTAAAAATAATAAGAGGCTTTACACATTTATAAAAGGTAATTTAGCTAAATGGATTTGCCATATCATTTGAATAATCTTAAATTGAATTTATTTAACCTTCACAAGAATAAAACAGCCTATGGGTTGTAAAGGTAATCACAGCCAAGCCTTCTTCAAACCAACAATCAAAATCAGGATTATAAATCCTTTATTCGACCCACTGAGGAGACATTTACATTGTTACTGCAAAGTATAGATAGATACGAACAAAATAAAAATAAACATAAAACACTATTCGATAAAGGCATGCACATCATATTTTAAAATCAAAACTATAGAAGTACACTTCCAGGTATAATATATCTCCAAAATAATTGTCTTAACCTCTTTTTCATGTTCACGGCACACGGAGTTTTTTGCTGTGGTAAACCTATAAAATATATAATTTGAATGATCTCAAACTGAATGTATTTAACCTTCATAAGAATAAAACAGCCTAGAGGTTGTGTAGGAAATCACAACCAAGCCTTATTCTAACCAACTCTAAAAATACCTCCAAGAGAATCTTTTTTAACGTCCACTGCATAGTAACATTTCCACTGTGGTAAACCTGCATTAGATATCATATGTCATAAATTGTTAAAATATTCTTGAATTTAGGTCAGTCAGTCCTGATTATCGCTGCATTTGTGTCCGTCAATCAGTCACGGGTGTGTTACTGCGTCATCGCCTCGCAGCCAATCACAGGGCGGCGTCCAGAAACTCGGCACCCGAGACGTAAACCTTGCAAACATGGCGACGCTCCGAAGAGAGTACGGAGATTGGAAATACGACCGTTTTTAAACCGAGACTATAACCTCCCTCTGTGCATGTTACAATGTGGTGGGGTTAGCCAGAGCCACCACACGCACAGCCTTTTAGACGATGTTTGCAGAGGTAAGTCAGAAACAGACGCGTGGTGTTTAGTTTTCCTGTGATAGACACGGCTAGTTAGCATTTAGCAGCTATCAGCATTAGCCCCTCAGGTAAACACACAGGCTGACAGGGAGAGGACGGCTCACACACAGCTGCTGTGCTCTCAGGAAAGGTTGTCTGCTATAAGTGGCAGGCAGCCCGTGGATTACACTGTTAAAGCTAAGTTAATACGATGAGCTCAGGACAGGCAATGTCCATAGTAAATTATGAGTAACGTCCCTCAACAACGAATTTCTACAACACAACAAACACAGGTGAGCTGAGCGGTAGCTGTTGGAAATATAGATGGATACAAACCTTATATTAGAGGTTAGAGAAAGGTACTTATTTGCAGACAAGTACTCAGAAGTAAAAATAGAACTACCTGGAATACTATGATACAAGTTAAAGTCCTGCATTCAATTTCTTACTCAAGTTAAAGTACACCCGTATTAGCATCAAAATATATCTAAAGTCCAAACATAAAAATACTCATTATGCTGTTAAGCCCATTTCAAAATAATATATTATATCTTTTGATTATAAATATTGATGCATGAATGTATTTCAGAGCTGGTAAAGCTGCAGCTAGTTGTAATTACTTTACTAAAGGTTGAATAAAAGCCGAGTTGTTGACACTGCTTACAAAACTGTTTTCTCTAGGATTAGCTTACATCTATTACCGTAATGATAAGTGTGCATTTCTTTCTTATTTTACTTTTACTGTAGGGAAAGTGTGAGCAAATGAGTGCACTGCTGTCCAAGTGAGATGTTTCCAGTGGCTTTTAGTTGCCAATCTGTCAGTCAGAAAGCTCCCTGCTTTAGTCGAACACAAACTACTGTCCTAACACAAGCTTCTCCTAAAATATTAATAGGGTATCTTCAGTCCATTGTTGCTGGTCAGTGATTATGGAGATTACGCCTGTGCCTGACAAAGCCTTTTTTTGTGTATGTGCTGATGACAGTGTAGTTTTGCTGCACTTCTGACTTGATGCCGTTTCTCAACTGGTTTCCTGGTTTTTGATGGATATGTCACTGACCATGGCATCTGCTCTAAAGACAGACAAGTGTCCGCCACACCTGAGCTGAGGGATGACCACATCCAGGCACATCTCCAGCAGTTTAAGTACAGGTTTAGCCCTGGTAATAAGGCTTTAGCACTGTTCTGTATGTCTGACCGAGAGTCCAGTTGTTTGTACAGTCAGGTGTTAAACTGTAGTTTAGTAATCCTTTGCAAAAATGTTGCTCCCATCCAACCATTAGTCTCGTATTGGAACATCCTGTGATGAGGGTTGGCTTAACATTATCTTTGTAGTGTCTTTTGTTGTTATTGTTTTTAAATGTAAAGTGAGTTCAGAGATATTACAGAATATGTAAAATACCAACTTATATATGCTCTTTGATCTCACAGAGAGTGGCAAGTAGCTATTGCCTGAAATCCCAGGATGTGTTTTTATTACATGTGCCAAGTGCTAGGACAGTTTGAAGTACTAAAGCTTTTATGTGCGCTGCTCCTCTAGCTTGGAACACTGCAACATGTTTTGAAACTGAGCATTTTGGTTCCCTTGCATCATTTTAAAGCTCGGATAGATGAAATGTTATTAGATATCTGTCATTGTGAATAGGTTGCTAATGTATACCCCTGTAATTATGTTGTATTGATGTCCTTTTTGTTTTCTGTTGTTTATATGTGTAACCAATGTGCTGCAGGTCTCCCTTGAAAAAGAGATCGTTGATCTCAATGGGATTTGCACCTGGTTAAATAAAGGCTACAAACAAACAATGTAGACTATCAGACGTCTTACCTTTGAACTTATTCAAAGTCACCTATTTCAGTTTATTCAACTACCTTCTGACGTTACCTCCTTGGTTTGACTTTTAGTGACATTTCAGATTACAGTTGGCATTTTAAATGTTGCACATAAGTTGTAACGCAAATGCTGCTTTTGTATTTGTAGTTCTTTTGATCGTAAGGTCATTTTTACCTGTAGACAGACATTAGCCTTGACATTCTTTTTTTTTTCTGACTATGATTCATTCTTTAAACAGGGTGTAACCGCATACCTTGATTACCACCTTTTTACACTGAGTTAGCTTGTTGTAAGGGGATGGGAGTGCAGTGTGAGTTCATCCACAGTCACACAAAGTTATGTCAGAGCTTTCACCCCTGGCTTGATCTCTTTAAGGCGTCTTAATCAAAGCTTGGTAGACATTAAGGCCAGCACACTCTCACACCAGGCCTACATTTCATCTAGTCCACCTCTCCCTCCTTCCTTCAGTAAACACAAGCAGCTGCCCTGCCAGACAATCGGACACCTTTCAAGAATTACGCCCCATCCAGACCTGTGATTTGTATCCAGATATATCCAGTGAGTTTTTAGGTAATGCTGAGACTTACAATGCAGTTTGGCCTCACAGTTAGACTTCTGTCACAAGTTGTAATTGGATATTGCTTTATTATTTGTATCCCTTGTATGTATCAATTTATTTGAAACTGCTAACTTATACAAAACAACAAATTGGGGCAGCACAAGGTGATGCAAACGTGTACTTCTACAGAGTCCGCCATTCATTTCCCAGGTGTGCCTCTGGCGTTTGTGTGTTTCAGCTGGTGGGATGCTACTGGCCTAGAGATTCGTACTAGTTGGTTTGAATCCTGGGTGAGCAACACAAACCTACAGAAACTTCTAGAGAAGCTACTAAAGGGAAAAAAGAGAGCACTGGGATTATGTAACGTAGAGGTAATGTGGCTGATTTCATCCTCACGAGGGCCAGTTAGCCGTTTTTAACTACATCTCAAGGGAGCTGGCCATACAGAATTGGACAGGAATAAGGAGAGTGTTCAGTCCTATATCTATGGAGGTTGTGGTAATAGGTACCTTGTTTTGGCCTCCAGGTTTGTTGTTTGTGGGATATATGTACTTCAGCTGGGTGATAAATCAAGCCAACATTAAGTATCTTTAAGGACCACCACAAAGAGCAAAGCATCTAAGTGCTGTACTTCCTTGTGCAGTGATCAGATCATTCCACATGCATTACAGTGCAAGTTGCCATCATAGTTTACTCAAGGTGTTGATCTGACATTTTATCACCGCTGTTGGCTTTATCACCTTAACTATAAATGGCTGTTAGTGCTCAGTATGTACATATACACACATAGTTCACTTGTTACACTTTAACCAGTACTTCATTCTGTGGGAGGGGAAGTTCCTCTGCTGGTCAAACACCAGCTTCTCTACGCAAAATAAGAATTGTTTATCCATATATATATATATATATTAACTGCGGATGGAAATTAGCTCAAAGTTAAATCTGGCATATTTACGCTTGACACATTTAATTGTTTTAAGTGTTCATTGATGTGCATTGTCCCTGCTAAATAAATATCCCAGGTGGTATCTTTACATGCTGTGTTCATTATGAGGTTGTTGAGGAGTGGGAAAAGTGGCCCCGTTAGCTCTCCTGCTGAACCTGCTGCTCCACCTTTTATGTTAATGTAGTTCAGATAATGACCAAAGGCTTGTTCGTGGTGGATTGCACAGCACAGGTTTTCAATTGCCCTGCAGCTAGAACTCTCCAGTATCTGCTCTACTGCTCTGTGCTGTTTTTTTAGTGTTGGCTCTCAGTGATTTGTCCACGTACGGCTGAACACCTTTTAGATGACAGATAAGGTTTGACATGCTGTTAGCATACCTGGTTGTGGACAAAACAACATACCAGAGCACATGTTTAAGTTACATTTATATTACATTTGTTACTGTTAGATAACATATTACTGCCTTACATGTTGCCAAACTAAGAAACATGTTACTATATCTTCATCAGTTTGAACATAAATATCGGCCTGCCACAAAAAGTCAACCCTAACACATGACTGCTACATTCAAAAAGTGTGGATGATTTGTTTACATCTTCTTATTATCTTGACAATTTCCGTTCTCAAATCTTAAACGAATGACAAAAATAGACACTTTTCTTGATCTCTCAGAATAAACTCTGTATATTCTTGATATATAATCCTAAAGCTTATTGTAGATCTTTTTGCTACGGTGGTCTTGGTGGATTAGACCAACATGATCAGTCCGCCCTGCTCGCTTTCTCCCCCTCTGACTCTGAGGCATTAACCATGGATCTCCCACAGGAGAGCTTTAATGGGCTGAGTTAACCTCACTCACCTACACTTAAGGTTTGTAGCTAAGCGCTTATGGCTTTGAACATAGATCAGAAAAATAGCAATATTTTTGCCTTTGAGCAGTTTTTCCTCCATAGTACGTGTCTGTGTATGAACAGTGCAGTTTTTCCTCCATAGTACGTGTCTGTGTATGAACAGTGCAGTTTTTCTTCCATAGTACGTGTATGAACAATGCAGTTGTGTGTGGATGTGTTTTTTAAGTTGTGCCAGGAAATCTGGGAAAAGATAATCTCCAAGACACTGATAAGAGTCTCTGTGTGCATGTCTGAATGTGCCTAGAGTCAAGGACACAGCAGAGCTTTTAAACATTGAGATTATTCTCTGGGGAAGTTAGCTACGAGTAATTGTACATTTGTACTTGAGGGAGAAAGCTATACAGAGAGAAACTGGAAGATGAAACACATGAAACATTTAACATGAAAAACACATTTCTTAAGTTATTTTAGTGTAGTTATTACGGCACGTTAAGAGGGAATATCTATAGCTGACCCTTGGCTATTATTAACTCAAATATATATTTTTTAATCTCATCATTGGTTGGACGGTCAGATTTGAACCACAGAAAAGACACAACCACATTTGTTTCCATCTGCATGTGTCCCTGTTTGTTCTGCTCACTCTTACGTGTGTCTATTCAGCGCGGGGTTGCGTAAGGAATTGCCTGGATGTTTAGATGTGTGCATTCCCGATGGGCTTGGGTGTTAATCACTGGAGCAGATGGTTCATGTTATAAACCCTGTGTAAGCTGTAATGACTCAAGAGTGTCGGTTATCGTCTTTCTTGTACAAAGCCCAGCTTCACCAGCCACACTGATAGCCTCCACATTCACTGCTACTCGCTCACACCATTGACGTCAAATAGTTTATCAGGGAATGGCTTCATTGTGGGATATACGAGAAACACATTTCTGTAACATTGAACAAAAAGGAAAATAGTACTGTTCCTGATAATACTGTTTAAACAAAAGAGGTTTGTACAAACTTGAACTGATACAGGACTGCTCGTATGTAACCTCGTAGAAGCATTGAAGCTTCTCCAACCTTTTTGGTGTGTTTTTAATTTACAAAAAACACTTGAAAAACA